CCATTCGTCCACCATGGTGAGGAAGTACAGCACTCCCCCAGTCCCCTCTGTCCTCATAGTACCCACCAGGTCCATGTGCACCACCTCCAATGGCGCCTTCGCTGATCTCTTCGCACGTGGAAACGGGAACCGCGCAAACTTGTTCTGCATGCACGCCTCGCAGCTGCCAAATGAAGCGCCATCTCCTTGCAGTTGCAGGCCGTGCACGCACTTCTCCTTGTGCATCACCTCCAATGTAGAAACAGTGCAAGCCGCCGATGCCAAGTCTCCCAATTCGTTTTGCCCGAGGTAGCCAATGCCTTCACTGCCGCGCTTCCTCCAATCAGCTCCTCTCCTTGCACACCTTGCTGCTCCTCCTCGGTGACACTCTCCTCCATAGATGCTGCGGCTGCCGCCTTGCTCGATTTCCACCAAGGGAGGACCGGGATCTGCCACATCCCTTACGCTGCAGAACCCAAATGAGGTGCTCGTCGTTGTAGCCACAATTGCGCCTCGAGCCAATCGTCTCGGTGTTCACACCCGCATCTCCCAATCGGCCGGTAGAAATCAATTTCGCGCACAAGTCCGGCACCCATAGCACGTTCTTCAGCCCGACGAGCTCTCCATCTGCTCCCATAAACTTGGCGCATCCCGTGCCCATGAGCTTGGCCTTGGCGCGCGTTGCGGATGTGACTGTAGAGATGGGTGCGGGCTGAATCTCATCGAGTAGGTCGGCGCGAGGAGTCATATGCCAGGAGCTTCCCGAGTCAATCACCCAATGGGTGAGGGGGTGTAGGAGAACCTTGGCAGCCATGGCGGGGTCGCGGATCCAGACCAGGCCTGTCGCTTGCAGGGCGTTTGCCCTGCTGGACCTTGAATTCCACGGTTGGGTTGCCCTTGAAAACTGAAATTGATGGGTTAAAACATTTCCGGCCCTGATTCCTTACAGAGCTGATTTCGGGCTTAGGCCTGGACTGTTAAGGGTAGCTTTTAGGCGAGCCCTGGAACAAAATCTTTTGAACCCTCCCTCCCACCCCTTTCCCCCCACCTCAAACTCCTCCACTCCCACTCCCCCCGTTTCTATCTTGATTGCATTCAAACCTGGCAATCTGGAGTTGCGTGGCTGGGCCACAGATTCAACTCAACCTACAACTGGTACTTCTGCCAATCACAACCTCGCTCCCATCCCATGACACACAGACAGCAGCATGATTCAGCATAGCGGCAGCAAAACACATCTCAGATCCCCGTTGTGCACTCCACCAGCAGGCATGAATTGACATAGCAGCAGCAAAATACATCGCAAATCCCTGCTAAGAGTTGGAAGAGGAGGAAGTCAGTTAAGCGTGCGTAGTGAATGACGCTAACTAGCTTTTTATTTATGTGGTCTTTGCTTATTGTAATACTTGCAGAGTGCAGCTGTTAGCTTTGTGGTATAAATGAGGCTGCAAAATTTTCGCGCCAAACCTGATTTACAGGGAGGAAAAAAAATCAGCCCTGAAGCCTAAGGGCCGAGATTCGCCCCGACCCTGCTAAATCCAGGGTCGTACATGCCGGGTCCCCTGATTTGTCCGGGGGGCCCGAAACGAAACGACAGCCCTGATCCAGACAAAGATTACGTGGTGGAAGCAGACGCTAGTGACCACGCAGTCGGAGCAGTATTGATGCAGGTTCACGGACGCGGCTTGCAGCCCATCGCCTACCTGAGTAAGAAGCTACACGGAGTAGAACGGAATAACCCATGACAACTTAGCGATAGTCACCGCCTTCAAGGCATGAAGGTGTTACCTAGAGGGAGCCAAGACCATAGTATACACTGACCACTACAGTCTCAAATACCTCAAGTCGCTGCCTACGCTCTCACGATGACAGGTGCAGTGAATGGACTTCCTGGAAACACACTTCCACTACGACACCGTCTACACGCCAGGGCTACACAACAAGGCCGACGTACTGAGCCGGCCAGGGCACGTAGTAGGCATCCAGCACGACGGGATGAACCCTCTGCTCAAGGGTCTATTCCAACATGGGTACTCGCTACAGCACAGAAACAGAAGTTGTTACAATGCGAGAAAGCCTTAGCGATAAAGAAGGGTTCAAGAAAATTCTAGGTATCGAACTGTTCCCCGCTCCGACATATCTTACTGAAAGAGTTTCACGACGTAGCATACGCGGGACATTTCGGGAGTAACAAGACGTTAGCAGGGATAGCAGGCGCATAGCAATTTGTCACCTCATGCGACACGTGCCAGCGGATGAAGAATAGCAAGCAGAAAAAGTAGGGTTACTTCAGCCTCTACCCGTACCTGAGCAACCATGGCAAGTTGTTAGCCTAGACTTCATTACTGGGCTACCTTCGACCTTATGTGGTGATCGATAAGTTCTCTCAAATGGGACAATTTATCCCGACCAATGCCACGGCTACTGCTGAAGCAACTGCTTGCCTCTTCTTCGACCGCATCCTCACCATCCACGACATCCCCGCCACATTAATCTCGGATAGGGACCCAAGGTTCACTAGTGAGTTCTGGAGGGAACTCATGAGTCTGTTGGGGACAAAACTTGCGATGTCTTCATCGTACCACCCCCAGACTGATGAACAGATGGAGCGACTCAATTAGGTGGTTGAGCAGTTACTGCGCACTACTTGCAAAGACGAAACTGGGATCTACAGTTATTGACGCTTGAGTTCGCTTACAAGAACACGTCACATACGGCCACAAGGAAAACTTCTTTCTTCCAATGCTACAGACGGGAACTTGCACCACAGCAGCCAACCACACTGGCACACGTTCAAGCTGCACATGAATTCATCACCACCATGCAGCAGCTATGGGAGAAGACTCAGCGACGTCTCACCACGATGCAGAACTCCCAGGCAAGATCACTCGGTAGTAGTCAAAGATCAGGTGCTTCTTGACACAAGCAACATGGACTTGTCCCACCTTCCGTCCATGCTCCGGCCTCGCTCCTGTGGTCCTTTTCGCGTTGAGACCACCGGTTGCGCTTACCTACTACGTGGAAGTTTCACAACGCTTTCCATGTTCAGCTGCTGAAGCCCTACAAGGACCCCAACCAACAGTTTACAGGACGACAGCTACCGCCACCACCATCTGTTCTTGTACAAGATGAATTGCTTCTACCAAATTCAGAAAAGGACCCGTTCGAGACGCTTCACGACCCGCAGAACCTTCTATTAACACCAGGGTTACTGCGTTTTTGTCGAGCCCATATATAGCCTCGTGTTGTACCCAAGTGATCATATTATAATTTCTAAACCAGTTATTTGATCCTCACACTGCACCTCCCCTAACAACGGACGCCGCTGCCGCAGAGGCCGGGTGGCAGGAGAGAGGGAGGAGTAATGTCGAACCACAGCGGCGTAAAATGTTTGGACCGATGTTACCAGACGAATGTGGGCCTTGGTCAGCAGGTGAGCTCGAACGGCAAGCCGTGCGATACCGTCACGCTCCGTCCACTGTGTGTAGGCAAGGAGGTTCGCCCGGTACCGCCACTTCACGTCCTCGCCAGCGTCAGCAACAGGCTCAGTGGGAGTCGTGGGGGCCCGAAGGGACGATCAGGGACGCCATCTCTATATGAAACGACGGAGATACCGTCGCAGGCACTCGAGCCACCACTCTAACAAGAAAGGGCACCCATCGTCGTCAACCTCTAGGACAGTGATAGTGGCCATGACAGGCAATGGCAGTCAGCAGCGGCGGCGCAAGGGTGGCAGTAGCGACTGCGGCGGAGGAAGCTGTAGCGGCAATTGCAGGGGCAGCAGTGGCGGTTGCTGCGGCTGCAGCGATATAGGCAGCTGCAGCGGTGGCAGCCGGTGTAGCGGTAGTCGCAGTGGCAGCTGTAGCGGCAGTGAACGAGCAGGCACGGCGCAGCCGCGCGCGTTGGCAGGCACGTGGCAGCAGGGTGCTTAGGGCGCCTAGAGTAGGGCGCACGGGGCGCAAGGCAGCAGGGCGCGCGGCGCGCGGGGCAGGAGGGCGCGCGAGCGTGTAGGGCAGCAGGGCGCGCGGGGCACATTGGGCAGCAGGGCGCGCGGGGCGCGGGGCAGCAGGTTGAGCGAGGCGCGAGGCAGCGCGTGCGGCACGCATGGCAGCACGCCGAGCACGATGCGCGGGGCAGCAGGGCAGTGGCGTGCGACGTGCGGGGCAGTGGGGCAGTGGCACTCGATGCGCGGGGCAGCGGAACAGTGGCGCTCGAGGCGCGGGGCAGCGAGATCAAACCTATCCTAATCGTAGGTTCGGTGTTTTGTTCGGCAGTCGGACCTAACCTAGTGCAAGATTCCATGTTAAAGGCCAAACCCCGAATTACACAACGAAGTCAATGTAAAATTTGCAGGTTCGAGAGTCGGGAAACCCCAGGAGGAAGTTCGGTGGGAAAATCAAAACCAATCGCATAAAAGAACCACTCAAAAATTTGGACCAATCGCGTGAAGGTGGTGACAGTTTGACGCCCGACTCGGTGATTCTCGGTAAAACGAGATTGACGAAATATATCCTCTCGTCACAACCCAAAACTGAACTCCTCCCCATCAACCTTTTATAAGGGCGTGTGTCTTTTGGCGAAATTTGTCAAAGTTCGAACATTAACCGCTTTGCACCGTGGCAAAAGACTCTCAATAGTATTGTACCGAGTAGAACCTAACTAAAAGTTAGAACTGACACAAGTTCGAATCCCTAGTGCACACGCCCTAACTCGTGCACTTTGTGCAAAAACTGAAAGAGAGTAGCGCGGAACGAATTTGACTAGGAAGATGGGATTCAAAAGGTGAAACCCTAGAACTGTATCCGTACAGCCCCACTACAGCCTATCACCATATTGACATACCGCGGAATTAGAGTTTGGGCGAAGAGTCGGTCTGGTAGGGTTTGAGCTCAACCAAGTCCAATTTAGTTTCTTCGCATTCCGCAAACCCCGCGGTTCGCCGTACACGTTGCCGCGCACTCCAGCAGCGCAGCCCTCGCATCGTCTCCCTCACGGCGGTTGTGAGCGTCGGTGTGGCGAGCATGGCGACCTTCGAGGCGTACGAGCGGCAGTTCAACGGCATCGTCGACGCCTTGTCACACGGTACGCATCACCATAGGCCGCCACCGCTCGTCTCGTGTTTGCGCTCCTCCGCCCTGCATGGTTCCCTGTGTTTCGCTCGTCGCTCCTCATCGGTTTCATCGCGTCGCGCGTCTCACTCATCCCGACGTGGCCGTGCAGGTGCGTCCAGCGGTCGGCTGCACGAGTCGCAGCGGCGCATCGACGACGCGGAATCACTGGTACGTCGCCGCCGCTCCCCCCGCACCCTCTTCGAGTCCTCCAAGGCTCTCTCTTATGTTCGCCACCTCGTTCGTCCCTCCGCTCTTCAGTCCCCACCCCGCTGCTCTCCTCCCCGCCCCGCTGCTCTCCTCCCCGCCCCGCTGCTCTCCTCCCCGCCCCGCTGCTCTCCTCCCCGCCCCGCTGCTCTCCTCCCCGCCCCGCTGCTCTCCTCCCGCCCGCTGCTCTCCCGCTGCTCTCCTCCCCGCCCCGCTGCTCTCCTCCCCGCCCCGCTGCTCTCCTCCCCGCCCCGCTGCTCTCCTCCCCGCCTCGCTGCTCTCCTCCCCGCCCCGCTGCTCTCCTCCCCGCTCCGCTGCTCTCCTCCCCGCCCCGCTGCTCTCTTCCCCGCCCCGCTGATCTCCTCCCCGCCCCGCTGCTCTCCCCCCCGCCCCGCTGCTCTCCTCCCCGCCCCGCTGCTCTCCTCCCCGCCCCGCTGCTCTCCTCCCCGCCCCGCTGCTCTCCTCCCCGCTCCGCTGCTCTCCTCCCCACCCCGCTGCTCTCCTCCCCGCCCCGCTGCTCTCCTCCCCGCCCCGCTGCTCTCCTTCCCGCCGCACATATTCCTTCTTCCCCCCTCCTCCAGATTCGCCAGATGGATCTCGAGGCGCGCTCGCTTCCCCCCACCGACCGCGCGCATCTGCTGGCGCGCCTGCGCGCGCACAAGCTCGCGCTGCTTGCCGCCAAGAAGCGCGCCGCCGAGACGGGGGGGGGGGGGGGGAGTCGTGATGGGCGGGAAAGCAGGGGGGCAAGCGGGGTCACGAGGGGTGGGGAGAGCGGAGGAGGAGAGAGCAGCGCTGCTGGAAGATGGAAGGGACTATGTGCCTCTATCGGTATGTGCCTCTATCGGTATGTGCCTCTATCGGTATGTGCCTCTATTGGTGTGTGCCTCTATCGGTATGTGCCTCTATTGGTGTGTGCCTCTATCGGTATGTGCCTCTATTGGTGTGTGCCTCTATCGGTGTGTGCCTCTATTGGTGTGTGCCTCTATCGGTGTGTGCCTCTATTGGTGCGTGCCTCTATCGGTGTGTGCCTCTATCGGTTGGTGCCTCTATCAATGTGTGCCTCTATCGGTGTGTGCCTCTATCGGTGTGTGCCTCTATCGTTGTGTGCCACTATCGGTGTGTGCCTCTATCGGTGTGTGCCTCTATCAGTGTGTGCCTCTATTGGTGTGTGCCTCTATTGGTGTGTGCCTCTATTGGTGTGTGCCTCTATCGGTGTGTGCCTCTAACGGTGTGTGCCTCTATTGGTGCGTGCCTCTATCGATGTGTGCCTCCCTCTCCCCAGAGGGCAGGGCCCACCAATCCGTCTGCCAGTGGAACACCGTGTCCATCCATCCATCTTGCGGCCCTCCCCTCCTCCTCTCTTCTCCTACTTCGCCCCTCCCCCCCCCAGGGCGCGGCAGACCAGCGCGCGCGGCTGCTGCAAGTGACGGCGCGGGTCAGAATGAACAAGAGTGATTGAACTAGGAAAGAGTTGGGTACAAGTAGGAAACCCTAAACTTACTGTAACCCATAGTAACTACCCCACTACAGCCTAAACAAACTGTAGCAGATATAACATTTGACACACCCCCATAGGCAAAGTGGGGGAGAGCAAGGGGTCACAAGACCAGTCAAGAAAGGCAAAGCAAGCTCAGGGTGGATCACAACGTCACCACACACTCTGAGCACAAGCAAAGGGCCACAAGGCCAGTTCACATGTAGAGGCATATATGCAACACAAACAGCACAGTGATCTCTACCTAGCAAAGCAAGCATGCAGGTATATATATATATATCACAGTACAAGCAAAGCCTACAGCAAGTGAGGAAAGGTGGGCACAAGCCCTAGCATAGTGCAGAAACGCTGATGATCACCAGACTGAAGTGCCTTGGTAAATATATCAGCAGTGTTGGCCCGAGTGGCCACGTAACGCAGGCGAAGCTGACCACGCTGCTGCAACTCTCGAGCCAGGAAGTAACGCAGAGCGATGTGCTTCGTTCTGTGCTCCTCACACAAGGCAATGGTAGCCTTGTTGTCGACGTACAGCACTGGAGGAGAACGAGGCCGCTCTCCTGGGCCAGTCAGTAGGTAGGTGAGCCAACGTAACTCCTGTGCAGCCATGGCTGTGGCGTAGATCTCAGCCTCACAACTGGAGCTGAGAACTGAAGACGAGCGTGTAGAACGCCAAGAAACTGAACCAGAGCCAAGGCTGAAGGTGTAACCCTGTGACGACCGCTGAGTAGCCTGGTCGTCAACCCAAGAAGCGTCTGAGTGCCCAGTGAGAACAACTGAGCTCCTCCCTCCAAGCACTAGCCCCATGCCTGATGTACTGCACAAGTAGCGCAGTACCCTCTTAGCAGCATCCATGTGCACCTTTCGGTGCCGACCAGGAGCCATGTAGCGAGCCAGAAGGCCAAGAGGGTACGCGAGGTCAGGACGAGTGCAAGTCATCAGGTACATGAGGCAGCCAACTAGCTCTGGGTAAGGACCACTTGGCTCTACGGACTCGTCCGAAGGTGGAGCTGAGAGCGAGTGACCTGTAGCCAGAGGAGTGGCCTGTGCCGAGGACCAGGTGAAGCCGAAGCGCTGAAGGACCTGCTGCACCATGTGTGACTGAGACAGTGTGATGGTGCGGCGTGCTCTGTCCCAGGTGATCTGCAAGCCAAGGTAGCTGCGCAGTTCACCCAGGTCTGTGCACGTGTGTCTCTTCTGCAGCTCCAACTTCACGTGGGCGAGAGCCTCAGTGTCAGCAGTGGCAAAGACCAAGTCGTCGACGTACACGAGGATGTAGAACGGCGGCAGCGAAGTGTCGGTGCGCAGAAACAGCAACGGGTCAGCAGTAGAAGGCGCGAACCCAAGAGCCGCAAGTGTAGTACTGAGTGTGTCGTGCCAGTCACGTGGCGCCTGGCGGAGACCGTAGACCGGCCGCCGGAGGCTCCACTGGGTACCAGGAGGGAACGACCCAGTGAAGCCAGGAGGGCGGCGCAGCCAGATCTCCTCGTGCAGGCTGCCCTGCAAGAAAGTTGTGCTGAAGTCAAGAGAGTGAAGCTCGTAGTCACGCTGAGCGGCAACGTGCAGTAGCACCCGAAGAGTAGTCATCTTCGGGGTGGGGGAGAAGGTCTGGAAGAAGTCTACTCCCTCTCGCTGACTGAAGCCTCGAGCAACGTAACGAGCCTTAAAGACAGGTGGAGAACCTGGCGGCCGCTTCACCCTGAAAATCGACATGCCACTGACGATGTTCGCCCCAGGAGGGGGAACCTCGTCGACGTAAGTGCCAGTGGACTTCCAGGATGCCATCTCTGCGTCCATGGCTGACTGCCACTGAGAGGAGTACTCACCCGCGATCGCCTCAGCGTAAGAGCGCGGGGTCGGGATGTCTGGTGCATCCGGGTCTCCCTCAGGTGCAATCAGCATGGACACGAGATGAGGTACAGCAGCGGCAAAGCACCCAAACTCCTCCTGCCTGTCCTCAAGGACGTCCGTGCCAAGAGCACACTCACCCCCGACGGACGGAGGACAGACAGACTCAGACTCAGCAACAAGACTGGCAGCGTAGTCTAGACGACAGTGAGCAGCAAAGTCGACAAGCTCAGCAACTAAGGCAGACGCAGCAGCTGACTTAAAGGAAGGGTCAGTGACAGCAGCGGCCAGGAGACGCGTGACAGTAGGACTAGCAACACGAAGAGAGTAAGACCCCGGGTCAGCAAGGGCCGGAAGAGAGGACGCAGAAGGAGAAGGCAGAGGGACACGCTGTGGAGCAGTGGAGAGACAAAGCGTCATCTCGTGAGTGCCTGGGACAGGAGGAGGATGCTGACACGGGACACGACGACCAGTGCGAGCAGCACAAACAGGTGACGCAGAACGAGACTCAGGCGACACAGGACGAGACTCTGGCTCACGACACTCCGTAAGACCTCTTGTCGGACCAGTGTAAGGAGAAGGACTAGGAAGTGGCGAGGCAGGCTGTAACTGTGACTGCGACTGGACAGACGGAGGACACACTAAGGAGGAAGCAGGACAAGGAGGAGGCGGCTGACCAAGAACCTGCTGAAGGAGCGGAACAAAGTACGGCCGCGGTCGGGAAGCGCCTGCAGAACCAGCAGAGACAGCACCAGAACCCCCAGCAGCAGCTCCAACTCCCGTAGCACCACCAGCAGCTCCAGCCGCACCGTCGGCTCCAGGACCTGCAGGAGGACGAGCGTCAGCACCTCCAGCTCCAGTCCCTGCAGCACCAACCCCAGGGTCAGCAGCTACAACAACTCCAGTAGGCCCAGCGGCCTCAGCTCCACCGGCAGCTCCAGCAGCTCCAGCACCTCCAGCTCCAACTCCAGCACCAGCAGCACCTCCAGCAGCTCCAGCTCCAACAGTACCTCCAGCAGCTCCAGCACCGGGAGCACCTCCAGTAGCACCAGCTCCAGCAGCTCCACCTCCAGCTCCAGCAGAACCCCCAGTCCCAGCAGCTCCAGTACCGCCTGTACGAGCACCTCCAGGACCAGAGGCTCCAGTACCTCCAGCAGCACCAGGGCCTCCAGCGGGTGGCACCCCAGTGCTAGGAGCGTACCACTCACGCAGCCGCTGTGGGGAGGGAGGCTCCAGCCGTGACACAGCACCCGCAGCACCACCAGCTCCAGCTCCGGCAAAACCCCCAGCTCCAGCAGCCCCACGCTTGAGGCTGCAACGCTGAGAGTACCACTCACGCAGCTGCTGTGAAGGGGGAGCGCCACCAGGCGCAGCACAGTCAGTCTCAGCTCCCCCAGGCTCAGCACCCTCAGTCTCAGCACCCCCAGGCTCAGCACCCTCAGTCTCAGCACCCCCAGGCTCAGCACCCCCAGTCTCAGCACCCCCAGTCTCAGCACCCCCAGACGCAGTACCTCGCGCAGGACCAGAGTCGACAGCTACCTCGACAGGCTCGACCGGGTCTCCCTGGGAAACACCTAAGGGAGCAGGACCCTGGGGAGGTAGGGGATCTACTGAAGCAGCACCTGACGTGAGGAAGAGAGGGGGAGGGGGGAGCGGGGTAGTGCGGTAGGGGAACAGACGGTAAAAGGGTACCGACTCGTCAAAAGTGACGTCCTGAGAGGGGAAGACACGGCGCGAGGTGGGGTGGTAAAACTGCCAGCCAGGCGCGTCAGGGACAAAGCCAAGGAAGACACAGGGAACGGCACGGGAGGAGAGCTTGTCCGCGGACGCATCGCGGACAAAGGCTCGACATCCCCAGACCCGGAACACCGACGCATCGCCAACCTTCCCCGTCCAACGCAGTGTGGGCGAGGTCTCCGGAGCAGAGACACGGGGCCAGAGGTTGAGCTGATGCGCAGCGTACTGCACTGCAAACGGCCACACGAAATGGGGAGCAGCCGCATGGATCATGGAGGTACGAGCGACCTCCATAACTAAGCCAATGCGGCGCTCAGCAACCCCATTCTGCTGTGGAGAGGCCGGAAGCGTGAACGTCTGGCAGATGCCGTGCTCCGCACAGTAGGCTGCCAAGAGGTCGGAGGAAAACTCACCACCCCTGTCAGAGTGCAGACGCAGGACGAGAAAGTCCGACTGGAACCGCTCGCGGAACTGGAGACGAGCAGCACGGATCCAAGGGATCAAAACATCAGGGACCTCACCCTTGGTGCGCAAGGGGAAGACCGTGGTGTAGCACGTGTAGTCGTCGACGACCAGCAGGAAGTACCGCTCGTGGCCCTGTCCACGGACGCGGGCTGGGCCCCACACGTCCAGGTGGAGAGTCTGCAGGGGAGCCTCTGTGGGAGGGAACGAGGAGTGAGGAGTGGCGCGCTGCCGCCCCTCGACACAGGGAAGACAGGGAGGAGCAGGCGAGGGTGGGAGGGGAGGGAGAACCCTGGGAAGACCAGAGACAAGGTACCGGGAGTGCATACCACGAAGGTGCTGCACTGAGGGGTGACCAAGGCGGTGGTGCCAGAGGACAGTCTGGTGCGACAGGGTGCGACACGAGCAGGGGGCGGACAACTGACCTAACGCAGACGCAGACGCCGCTACCTGAGGGGACGCAGTGGTTAGTGTGTACAAGTCCGACCCCGGCTGCCGAGTGAAAGTAGCCAGGTGACGACCCATCTGGGCACACGTGCAGTGTGTCACACGCTCGTAGGCAGGGGTGAACTGGGGAACACCCGCGTCCTGGAGCGCAGAACCCGCCACCAAGTTCGTAGAGAACGAGGGGAGGTAAAGGCCCGATAGGGTGCCGGACGGGACAGCAAGACAAGGGAGGGCAGTGGTGGAGGTCGCATGGACCGGACCCCCGGAGGGGTCAGCCAAGGAGACAGCAACCGATCTAGGGAGCTGCTCTAGGGCAGTGCGGTCGCGAAAGAAACAGCGGGAAGCCCCTGAGTCCAGTGTGAAGGTGTGCAGTGCCTCAGTAGACGTAGTACCGGAAAGCGCAGACTCACAAGCACCTGAAGCAGCAGACTCACGAGCGCC